CATCCCGCCGGCCCGTCTGATCCGCCGGGCCGGGGTGAGCCGCAGTTCAGCATTTGATCTGGCGGCCCCGGGGCTCGCTCCGCGTTTTTATAAGAGTACAAAGAGTCCTCTCTTAATGAAACGTCCCGGCTCGGCTCGCCTGCTTCTCCCCCAGCCCGACGCGGTGGGCAGCCAAACTGCGCTGTGGCCGCTGCTGCGAGCGGGCAGCCTGCGGACCCCCTGGCCGCTGCCAGGGGATGARCCCCACGGAGATGACACCTGGGCTGGGGGTCGCTGCTGAGGGATGGGGACCCTGGTTTGAGTGCATCGCGTGCATGGGACATGTTGGGCACGGGCAGCGGGTGCTCTTGGGCACGGGCAGCGGCTGCGCTCGCCTCCTTTCCCCCACTGGAGGTCACCTTTCCAGGCTGCGTCCCTGCGCTGGGCTCTCTCCTGCCCTCTCCCTCCTCGGGAGCTCTTCTTGCAGGCACCTCCTTCCCAGACCCGGCCACGCTGCTCCAGGGGGACTGCCCCGACTCCGCAGCAGCTCTAGCTCTTGCAGGAGGGACTAGGACACTAGCGTGGGAGCTGAGGTGGCGGGGACGGCTGCAAGGCTCCACTGGCTGCACAAGGAGGGCAGTGGGAGCTGCATTAAGCCCAGCCTGACCCGAGTGCTCCCTGGCTTGGTACTGGGGATGGCTCCTGGTGCAGGGGAGGGAGGGACTGGCTGGCTGGGAGCGCGGCATGGGGCCCTGGCAGCTCCTGGAGCTCTGTGGGGGCTGCGTGTTGGGCGGCTTGGCGGCCCAAACGCAGCTGAAGAACTCCAGCCCCCCGGCTGCAGGAGAGAAGAAAGCGACTCAGGAGATATTTAAACACGGAGCTTCATCTTGCGATTTTTGAGCCTCTGGGGCTTGGCCAGACTATAAAGGCACGCTGGGCTTGGGAATCCACGCAGCACCCGGTGCGTTCCCGCGAGCAGCTCCAGTCCATGGGGGGCCCTGCGGAGAGGYGGCCGGGAGCCCCCGCGCCCGGGAGGACACAGAGGCTGCGGCAGGGCCGCTCGCTCGCTGCCCGGTCACCCTGGTGTCCAAGCGCCCTGCTCTGAGGTCAGCGCTGCGGCGGGGCCCCGCACAGTGCGCGGAGAGGCCATGGGATGCAGCGTCTCCGGGCAAATGGGCTGCAGCTGGGAGGGCGGGAGAGCCCCAGGAACCCTGCGGGGACCARGCTGGGCTCCTCGCAGCTCCAGAGGGCACTCAAGGTGAAGCGAATGGGGAGCGGGCAGGAGTTTGTGCACCAGTGTCATGCGGGGAGCACATCGGGGAGCTGGCACATCCCTCCCTCCTGTGCACGGGGTGGCCCGTGGCACCGTCCCCCATGCTGCCACCGTGGGAGCAGGCCGGAGACCTGGCCCTGGGCCAAGGGCTTTATCTCCGGCAAGGTCACCAGGCTCAGCTCCCACGGGGAGAAGCAGCGCAGCCCCCGGCGTGGGGGGAGACGGGGCAGGAATGCGGCCGGGACAGGCTCTGCCCTGCGCCACGGTAGCGGGCCCGAGCAGACCTGTGTGGGTCTCTCCGTGGTGCTGGGGATGTGCAAGGTCACCACTGCYCCTGCACGGCCCCGGGCATCTCTGCACCTCCCAGGATGTCCCCAGAGCAAGGCCAGAGCTGCCCCAAGCTGGCCCGGCCCCTGCTCCAGCAGTGGGGTGTCCCCTTGGGTCCCCACCTGGCTGGACAGGACGTGGTGTCCCCAAGGGTGCTGGCACCCAGGTGCCACCCGCACTGCCCATCCTGCAGCCCCCACACTCAGCCCCTGCACCCCAGGGTGCCTCCGTGGCGGTGCGGGCGCCCGGTGCCGCTTTTGCTCTGCTCGTTGTCCCTCCTGCAGGGCAGTGGGCAGCCCCCTGGTCATGGACCCCAACAGCATCTGCCGCAAGACGAAGCGGCTGGCGGGGAAGCAGGCGGAGCTGTGCCAGTTGGAGCCCGAGATCGTGCAGGAGGTGGCCAAGGGCACCAAGCTGGGCGTGCGGGAGTGCCAGTACCAGTTCCGCTTCCGCCGCTGGAACTGCACCAGCCACAGCAAGTACTTTGGAAAGATCCTGCAGCAGGGTAAGGCCGCGGCCCCGCTCATCCCGCAGCCCCCCAACACAGTGCAGCTGCCCCCTGCACCCCGGTGTGCCCGTGCACGGGGTGCGCGGGTGTGCGGGTGTGCACAGCCGTGCGTGTGTGCACAGCCGTGTGCGTGTGTGCACAGCCGTGCGGGGCCCCGGCAGCCCCACTGCCGGGGGGTCGTGTGTGTGCGTGTGTGTGAGCGGAGGGGGGGCCGGCGCGGCGCGGCGCAGCCACGCTGGGGTTTTGCTGCCGGAACATGTCTCCCCGTGTTGTAATGAAGTAATTAGCGATGCTCCCAGACAGCGCAGGGCTTCGCAGAGCCCAAGAATGCACCCGCGTCTGGCAGTGATTTACTGCTCCCCAGGGACCCTGCTGGGGGAAGGGGTCAGGGTGCGAGGAAGTACTGGGAGCTGCCCCTGGCTCATGGGTGCTCTGCACATCCCCTCTGTGCGGGCCTTGCAGGGGACATGGGGCACGGGAGCTGGCCACCGTCCCTGATGTCACCCCTGTGCTCCCTTCCCATGCCAGAGGCCTGGGTGTCAGGGAGGGAAAAGCGRGTCCCGTGCATGCACCAGCCTGAGGATGCCCAAAGGCCCCTCCTGGTGCTTGGAGAGCTAGTGCAGCAACGTCCCTGGCCTGGCAGCACCTCTCCCAGGTGGTCACACGGGGCTGGGTGCACCCAGGCAAGAGCAGAGCRGAAACGTCCTTGGGTCTTGCCAGGAGGCCAGGGTGGCCACACTCCCCATTGGGACTGTGCAGGATGCAGGACAGCAGGAGCACAGGATGCAGCCTGTCCCACAGCACGGAGATGCTCCTCACTTTTGTGGAGCTGGGAACCTGGCCCAAGAGCTGCCAGTGGGGATGGAGCAGCTGCCRCGCTGGTGCCTGCCAGTGCCCAACACACCGAGCAGGGGAGAGCAGAGACCTCGAGGGGAGCCACCCACTGCTGTGCCCTGTGTGGGGACACAGGATGTGTCCTGTGGTGCCCACGGCATGGCCCTGTCTCCAGGAAGGTGGCCCAGCTCAGCGTGGTGGACACATTTAAGACACTGATTTGCAAATGTGGGACCCCCCCAATCTGGAGAGACGTATTCAGTCCCGGGGCAGAGAGCCAGGGACAGCCAGGGGACTGTCCTGCCTCCTGAGCAACCTGTTTGAAGGTTGTCCTGGCAGAGAGGCAGGTGGGATCTGTGCCAGGACGGGCTCCAGGCTGGAAACGGGAGCTGTAACCCACCAGAGCCAGGCCAGATGGTGGGTGGGTGAYGCTGGCAGATGAACTGCCTGGTACCCGGAGAGAAGCTCGGAGTGGGGGAGTCTCAGGCACATTGGGCATGGGGCTGCTGGAGGAGCTGCCAGGCTCCCTTTGGCCCCATAGCACTGCTGGGGTCACAGGTAGGAGCAGTGTCCCGGGGACAGTGGGGAGGCCCTGGGCCTCTCCCAGGAGAAGGAGAGGCTGAGGGAAAGCGCAGCTGGAGGTGCGGAGCTCCTTGGGGCCGCAGCTGTGGGCGAGGGGCAGAGAGGGGCAAGGGGCGAGCCGAGGGCCTCTCTGCGGGCAGACCCAGCCTCCAGACCTGCTGCAGCTCCGCACGGGCCAGCCCGGGCTCCCGGCGGCCCTGGCGCCTGCTCAGCAGCCTCCTCTTTCCAAGCAAGGAGGCTGCAGCCAGCCCTGGTTTCCAGCCGTTGCCCCCCTGGCCGGTCCCGTACCGCAGCTCAGACCAGGGCCCCGTGAGCGAGGGGCACCCCAGCTGCTTGCAAGGCACCCTAGTCCCTCCAAGACAGGGCGTAGCACCGTGGGGCTGCAGTCGCAGCCTTTCCCTGGGGATGCCTTCCCAGAGCGTCGCACAGCTGGGGGCCGAGTGACAGCAACTGAGGACACCCCCTTTTCCAGGATGGCCCTTCTGAGAGCTCTGGGGGTGCAGGCGTGTGAGGACACACGGTCAGAGCCTCTTGCTCCACATGTTCACTGCAGGCGTTTGCTGCCCCCACACATGTGCCTTGCAGGAGTGCCTGGGCTGCCCGAAGCCTGGAGGGACACACAGGGCCAGGACGTGACCAGGACATGCATGGCAGGTCCCCCCATACCACAGGCTCCTCTGCGTGTCCCCCAGGGCCACCCCCTGCGTTGGGGTGGGCAGGAGGCTGCCTGGCACGGGGGGAGCGCGGGACCCCCCCGAGCAGGGCGCCGTGCTCCCACTGCCAGAATCCCCCGCTGGCTGCGGCTGCGAGCGGCAGGTCCGGGCAGGGGAAGGATGCCTGGAATTTGTGTCCCGGAGCAGAGCGAGACAGGAGCAAATACTAATAATAAATAATCCTGCAGGGTGGAGGCTGTGCCGGCGGAGGGAGGGGGGCAGGCACCTCCCGTGGCAAAGGSGCATGGAGGGAGGTCAGGTGGGTCGGCTTCACCCTGGGCACCCTGGAGAGGGGCAAGCAGCACCCATGGGGTGTCACCTTGTGCCACTGCCCTGCTGTCCCCTCTGTGATACAGCTTGCACCAGCGGGTGGGATTTTCACAGCTCTGGGGGACCRTGGGGCACCACCAGGTTATGCAGCACCCCTCCTATGTGCCCCACATGCCTATGGGGCAGCCCCAGCTCTTGCAGGGGGAGGCAAGGGGCAGAAGCGGGGAGCCGAGCCCGCGTGGGGTGCAGTGTGTCCCCGGGCTGCCCGCAGAGCCCCCACGCGGCTCCGCGTCTCTCCCCGCAGATATCCGTGAGACGGCGTTCGTGTACGCGATCACGGCGGCCGGCGTGAGCCACGCCATCACGCAGGCGTGCAGCATGGGCGAGCTGCTGCAGTGCGGCTGCGAGCTGACGCGCAGCCGGGCCCCGCCGGCGCCCACCGCCGGCCCCGGCGCCGACGGCACCGCCTGGGAGTGGGGCGGCTGCGGCGACGACGTGCAGTTCGGCTACGAGAAGTCCCAGCAGTTCATGGACGCCAAGAGCAAGAAAGGCAAGAACGACATCCGGGCCCTCATCGACCTGCACAACAACGAAGCCGGGCGCCTGGTAAGGGCTCTCCGCTCCCTGTCCTCCAAGGTGCAATGGGGTGGCTGCAATGGGACCCCCAGGACCTAAGCTGGGGGTGCTGGAGAGGGACACGGGTGCCCAGGAGGTCCCAGCGGGGACACCCCTGATCTGAGCGTCCCCCTGTCCCCCCAGGCGGTGCGGAGCTACATGAGGACGGAGTGCAAGTGCCACGGGCTGTCGGGCTCCTGCACCCTGCGCACCTGCTGGCGGAAGATGCCCCATTTCCGCGAGGTGGGCGACCGCCTGCTCGAGCGCTTCAACGGCGCCTTCAAGGTCATGGGCGGCAACGACGGCAAGACCCTCATCCCCGTGGGCGACAACATCAAGCCGCCCGACAAGCAGGACCTCATCTACTCGGCCGACTCGCCCGACTTCTGCTCGGCCAACCGCAAGACGGGCTCGCTGGGCACGCGGGGCCGCGTGTGCAACAGCACGGCCATGGACACCAGCGGCTGCGACCTGCTGTGCTGCGGGCGCGGGCACCGCGACGAGACCGTGGTGCTGGAGGAGAACTGCCTGTGCCGCTTCCACTGGTGCTGCGTGGTGCAGTGCCGCAAGTGCTCCGTGCGCCAGGAGCTCAGCCTGTGCGTGTGACCGCCCCGGCCGCGCCGCCGGGCTGGGACACTATGGGGGCCACCGCCGGCCCCGGGACACGGACAGGCCACCCTGGAGAGTGGGCTGGGCTGGTGGCAGGGACAGCGCGGGGAGCCCGGCTCTGCTCCCTGTGGCGCAGGGGACACTTGGGGGCTGCCCGGGGGCCCGCGGCCCCTGCAGCGGGAGCTGCCACCAATAAAGCTATTTAAACCCGCTGTCCCGCAGCACTGGCTGGGGAGGGCTGGGAAGCCCTTGCTCCGAGCTGCTGGTGTCCCAGCTCCACGCAACCAGGATCGCCGTGATGAACAACCTCCGCCGCTGCCTCCGCGGCCACTTCCAGGTGGTGCTGCCGGCCACCCGCATGCGAATCCCTCCGAGACCTCCTGTATTTTCTTCTCGCCACTTTCAGCCCCTTTGGCGGCAGTGGCTGCCGCGGGGCTGGGCACGGAGGAGTGCTGCATAGCCCTGGCACTGCTGCCCTGGTGGCATGCGAGGTATTCGCTTGGCATGCCACGGGCCGCGTGCAGCCTCACCTGCCCGGCGCTGCGCCAGCCACGGCTGCGTAACCGGAGCTGCCTGGGTGCCCCTGGGCAAACGTGGGGCTTGTGACAGCCACAAAGGCCTCCAGRCTGTCACTGTCATGCCATGCTGCAGCGGGGGCCGGGCGATGCCCTGACCCCGGGCAGGGGGCAGAGCCACGGGGTCCCTGCACGCCCACCGCAGCCCGCCAGCAGGGCAAGGCAGGGCAAGCAGGGCGCTGGTGAACGATTAACTTGGCCCGGTGAGCGTCAGGGCGGGAGCCTCTCAATCTGTCAGCTGCAGCTTTGCAGCTGGAAATTCCCTGCCGGCGTGCCCGGAGCAGCGCTGCGAGAGCGGAGGCACGCGGGGCTCCCGGGGACTCCGAGCCGCGAGCACACGATGGCTGTGGATCAGCGGGGCTGGGCGCTGCGTGCAGAGGCATCTGTGCAAGCAAACAGCTCGGGGGGCACGAGGGCAGCAAGCCCGCGCGTGTCCCCGCGCCGGGCGTGCGTGCCAGCTTGGCGCGCTGCAGCGCGCGGGCCCCGGGCGCGCGGGGAGTGAGCTCGCCCGCGTGCCTGCAGGCGCAGCGGAGCGGGCACTGCCGCCCCTCGCTGGGCACGCGCCCGTGGCCCGGGCCCCACGTGTGCTGGGAGGACGTGAGTGGGTGCAGGAGGGCCCTGCTGTGGGATCCCCCTCCAGCCCTGGAGCCACCAGGCGGGCCCCGGGCGCGCGGGGAGTGAGCTCGCCCGCGTGCCTGCAGGCGCAGCGGAGCGGGCACTGCCGCCCCTCGCCGGGCACGCGCCCGTGGCCCGGGCCCCACGTGTGCTGGGAGGACGTGAGTGGGTGCAGGAGGGCCCTGCTGTGGGATCCCCCTCCAGCCCTGGAGCCACCAGGAGGGTTCAGAGCACCAGGGTGACGCTGGCTCCCCGCCGAGCCACCCAAGGCAGGGTGGGCTGAGCACCTCCATGAGAAGTGAGACCATGGGGGTGACCAGGGGCTGAGGACCCCATCCACCAGCTCTGTCCCAGCTCTGTCCTTCTGGAGCTCCCTCATGGTTTCCCTGCAGTGGGCTGCTCCTGCTCCTGGCTGCATGGACACAGCTCTGGAGCTGGGATGGCGGTTTCGGAAGGTGCCAGTTTGGCAGGGCCAACCCCTTTCCCTTCGCACCCAGGGCACCCTGGCACTTGCCATGGGCAGGCACTGCTCAGGCCCAGCACAGCGGGCTGCAGTGGGGGGGCTACACCCCCTTAGCTGCCCCCAGGAGCCCCCCGGAGCCCTCCCGCCGCTGTAGCAGCCCCAGCTCACCAGGAGACCCCCCAGGGGCCCCGCAGCCCCCCGAGAAGCGCCCCTGCCCCCCCAGGGGTCCCGCAGCCCCCCCGCGCCCGAGCGCTGCGCCCGGCGGCCGCCAGGGGGAGCCGCGGGGACACAGGGACATGGGGGGGGACACTTGGGGGGCATGGGGGGGCATGGGGCAGCATCGGGCGTGCAGAGGGGCTGCTCATGGGGGGTGCATAGGGGATGCATGGGGGGGGTGGATGTGCACACGTGGGGGGCTCGGCCCGTGGCGGGGGACGTGGGGCGGTGCTGGGGAGCACCTGGGAGGCCGTGGGGTGCACAGGGCTGTGCGGGGTGTGTGCAGGGGGGCTGCTGCACATGTGGGGTGCACAGGAGGGTGCGTTTATGGGTACGGTCGGGCGTGCGGGTGCCTGGGGGCAGCACTGGCAAGGGGCACATAGCGGTGCTGGGGGCAGCGCCAGGGACAGGGAGCCGCGGAGTTAGGGGAACCTGCAAAAGCAGCAGGGGACAATGAAGGCGCGAGGACTCAGCGGCCCCCCGGCTGCCCCCGCACCGCAGGCAGCTCCCAGGGAAGGGACAGGCTGTGGGGGACACCCGCGGCAGCGCCAGCGCCCCGAGCAGCCCGAGGGGCCGGCAGTGTGGCTGCATGTGCGTGTCTAGCCCCGCTCCCCGGTGCAGGACACTTTGTGTTGCAAAACTTGCAGCATCTTCCCAAGGGAAAGAAAGGAAGTTTATAGTATTTGGGTTAAAAAAAAATCCCAACCCTCTATAACATTAATGGCTTTCTTTTTTTTTTTTCTTTCCTTTCAAATGGTAAGAGCACAATTTTCTCTTCAATTGCCCAAGCTGAAAACAGCTGGACAGATTAATTCAATTAAAAACAAAAACAAATTAAAAAAAACACAAAACAAAACAAAAAAATCTTCTCTCTCTACGAAAAATAGACTGTTTTAACCAGGGGAAAAACAAAAACAACAATTAAAAAAAAAGCCAAAAAAAAAAAACAAACCCAAACTTTTTAGCATTGATAGGCCTGTAAGGGGAAGGCTGAGAAACCCAGGTAGCATCTCAGCGCAGCAGCATCACCCGGAGCATCTGAGGGATGCGTTTCTGGAGGTCRCGGTGCAGCAGGACTGTGTCCCTCGGTTCCCCGAGCTGCATCCCGGAGCTGAGTGCTTCCCTGAGCRACTTCCCGGGGCCCTTGGTGTCCACGTGGTGCTGCTGCCAGCRGGACCCTGCGCTCCCAGGAGAGGGCCCAGTGCTGTCCTGTGTCCTGCACGGGGACACAGCCCGTTTGTTTGCTCTTCCTGGCCGCTTAGCAAGCTTGCGACGGCCGCAGGGTGACCCTGGTCTTGGCCAGGGCTCCCGGCTCCCTCTCCTGCTCCAGGGAGGGCTCTGGGCAGTGAAGTCTTCCAGCTCCCGCCTCCAGGCTTTGCTGCTTCCTTCAGAGTTGCAGCCATCCTCCCTTGTCCCCATGCTGGCATCCGTGGGTGCCCCGGGGATGCGTCCGCCCCGCAGGGGAGACTCAGCTGGAGACGCGCTCTGCCAGCCCCACAGCGGCTCTCTCCCGGCCGCCCCAACTTGCGGTTCGGCCCCAGGCTGCCCCTCTGGGAAAATGCTCTCATTCCCAGCGCGTGCAAAGGCTTGGGATCCCCCTCCTGGTCATGTCAGCATCCCTGCTGTCCTGCAGGCTCTGCAGTGCTGGGGAGGCTCCATGCTGGGCAGCCCAGGAAGGCAGCGGAGGTACCTGCACCCATGGGGTGGTAGCCAGGACTCCTGGAAAATCAGTGTGGGGAGTCAGGAGAAACCTTCCCAGCAATGCAGGATCCCGGGAGGTGAAGCTCTGGATAGCACAGACACCATGACTCTGGTGCTGATGAGCATCCCTAGCTCCTGCTGAGCATCCCTGGCTCCTGCTGAGCATCCCCACATGTCTGGGTCCCACCATGGCCRTGGCCGTGGCCATTCCATGCTGCCTGGGGCTCTGTCCTCCTTGCTGTGAGCGTGATCCTAGCTCTCCTTGCTAAGCCATTCCCCAGGGGTAATTCCTCCACACATGCAGGGTTGCCACTCGTGTCCCCCACTCGGCATCCTGCTCAGCTCCACCGCTGGCTCCACTCCTTCTCCCTGGGTTGGGATGCAGAGCAGGGAGTCACGGAGCCTCCGCTCCACCAGCTGCAGCTGCTTCCTGCTCAAGCCAGCTTTCCCTCTGCAGCCCCAGCTCGCGGGCGCTGGGAGAAGAGGAGCCGTGGGCTCTGCCCCACAGCGAGGATGCTCCTGGGGATGGCCAGAGCGGCTGTGCTGGAGCTGGGGCACCGCCAGCACCCCGGCCCAGAGCAGCCAGGAGGACAGGCCAGGCCGGCCGGGGTGGCCGTGTGGTTTGCACCTGACTCACAGCGAGCAAACACGGGCAGGTCGCCGGGTGTGAGACGCTGGGAGGGCAGAGCTGCTGGGGGCTCGGACGCTGCCGGGCTGGTGCATCCTGGTGCCRTGACTAACGCTGCCGCACAAGGCAGGGTGGCCCTGCAGAGCCACCCCAGTCCTGACTCACGCGGCTGCTGCTCCAGCCCTGTGGGCGCTGCCGGGCAGGGGCAGCCAGAGAGTTGGGCTGGAGGATGGCTGAGGGTTGGCCTGCAGTTGCCTTCACATGCTCCAGGTGAACGTCGTCTTCCTCCTCCTGCKGCTGCTGGGGCTTGTGGGTCCTGCTGCAAAGTGCCATGCAGCTCCCAGCACCCTTCCTCACCGGTGCGGCCAGCATGGGCTGCTGCTGGACGTGGTCCCGGGTCCAGCTGGAGTCATGTGCACCCTTAGTGCACAGGAGCATGTCCCAGGCCAGGTGTCCCTGCTCGACTTTGCAGCCCTTGTCCCCTCCAGCCTGCTCCCTGTACCCCCCGCCCTGCTCCCTGGAGTGTGCAAGGTGCCTAGGAGGACAAAGCGGGAGCAGCATCAGGATCCCAGCTTGCATATGAGAAGGGAGCGGAGCAGGGGAGGCTTGGGAGCTGGGAGGTGATCTGTGGCATGCGGAGGGAGAGATGGAGGCTGGATGGATGGAGAGATGGAGACCTGGATATTTTCCCAGCTCGTTGCACATAGTTCAGGTCTCCCCTAAGCAGCTCTAGGGAGGGAATCCCCTGGTCCCCGGCCCAAGCAGGGGAGAGTCGAGGTCTCCCCACAGAGCCCTGTGCACGGGACCCTCACAGGGAGCTCAGCACTTTTCCTGCCCTTCATGCCAGCTCTGAGTTTTCTGGTGGTCACGAACGAGGCAGAGCCTTGGGCTGGAGAGGGCTCTGAGGAGCAGGGTCCCATGTGCCTGACAGAGCCAGCGACGGCTGCCTGCTCGGGACTAGCCCGAGCCCTGGCCTAGCTCCACCAGCTGTGCCAGCCTGATGGTGGGCTCAG